CTGCGACTGCGACTGCGACTGCGACTGCGAGAGGGAGAGTGATCGCGAGACGATGCGCGAGATGAATGGCTGGACACGCTGGAAGAGCGTCCTCGACCGCGGGCATCCGCACCCCTGGCGCCGGCACGCGAGGCCTGAGCACGCTTGCGGAGCTGTTCTGCAAGCTCCTTCTCCCGAGAGCGGATGCCATCTTCTGCGTCGGCATCGCCGTTTCCAGAGCGGATGCTTCTGTCGATCTCGCGGTCTGAGCCTCTCGATCCCCGAGACGCGCGAGAGCCGCGCTGAGTTCGCGCCTCCTCCAAGTCGGCGTACATCTGGAAGGGCTGGTCGCGGTGCTGATTCTGACTGTGTTGTGATGCTTGCAGAGGCTGTCGATGCTGGCGAAATGTCTACGCGAATGGACTCGATGAGATGTGGTTGATGATGGATTGATGGCGGAAAGGGCGCAGCAGGCTGCCGGCAACGTCTTTCCCGCACTCGAGCTGCTCGTCGCTGGATTTCTGTGGGCGTAGTTTGCTGGGTCACGTGATGTCAGAAATTCCGAGTGGCGCAGCGCGCGGCATGCGGGCGACCTTTGGCTTGCATGCAGGTCGAAGCAACACCCGGTGGGAGCGGATTTTGGAGGGGATCGGCTCTGGATCGGCTGCAAGGCGCAGCAGGTGGAGCTCAGCTGGACCCGTGAAGGTCTTGGAGACTCGCGCTTACAGTACTCGGGCACACCGATTCCACCATCCACATCAGCTGTCTATACGGCTCCACTCGGTCATACGAGCTTGGCATCTGGATGGACTTCACGGCAGCGTACCGGCATGCGTCTGGGCGCTGCATCGCCTTTTCGCCCGGCTCTACGTTCCTGGCCTCGGTGACAGGCGATGATGCATGCTCGGTCGTCGTGCGCGCCAGCTCCACGCTGCAGGTCATCCGCACATGGACGCTCGAGGCATCAATCAGCGTACTGGAATGGTCACCGGACGGCGCGTTTCTGCTTGCAGCGCATCCGGCCCAAAAGGACGATGGCGTCGTGTTTGTAGTCTCGCTCGACCCCGCCAAGGAGGCGAACGACGGCTCGGACGCCGGGTCGGGCTGGGTGGCGAGGATCGCGTCGGGCTCGGACGGGCTCTCGCACGCAACCTGGGCGCCCCCTCTCGGACCCAAGACGCTCATCCTCTTCAGTCAGAACCACCTGCGCGCATCTCTCTACAACCTTGTCGACCAGCACATTTCGGCCATCGAAGGCCCCAAGCACGACAAGATCGCATGGGTACCCAAACAGCCCGGCCACTTTGCCAGCATCCTCAAGGGAGCGGAACGAGAATCGCTCTACATCTTCTCGCTTCAGAGGTTGGGGCATCTAGAGATGAAAAAGTTCACCAACCCACCCAAGTCGGACGAGATGTGGAAGGTGGAACAGGCGTTTCAACTCAACATGACGGATGCTCAGGATGTCGTGTGGGCGCCCGACGGCAGCTGTCTTGCCGTGTGGGAGGGGCCGCTTGAGTACAAGGTGCAGATCTACACGCCGCTGGGCCACATGCGCGCAGCGTTTCTGATCGAGCCCGACTCCGACACTGGCGCGCCTGTCACGCGGCAAGGACTGGCGAACGAGCCACGCCCCATCGCCTCAAAGCGGCGCACGGACGCCGCTGACGTTCCCAGCCTAGTAGCAGGGGGAGGCAGCGGCGTTCGTCACATGGTGTGGCATCCGTCGTCGTCCTTCCTGGCGGTAGGAGGCGGCGATGAGAAGGTGCGCATCCTCGAGAGCAGCGAGTGGGCCGAGTTTGCAACGCTGGACGTGTCGAACCCCTCGATCCGCGCCAGTCACGAGTCTGCATCTGCATCGACGTACGGATCGCTGATCGCGTGGCGCGAGCCGCTCAACTGGCTCGAAGAGACGCGAGCGCGCGGGATTGTCACACTGGAGCAAGCGAGCCTGCCCATCTCGCTCTCTGCAACGCGACCTGACGCAGGCAAGGCGGGGCTGAAAGCCGGAGTGGCATGGATGGCCTGGAGTCCCGAAGGCAATTTGGTGGCAGCGTTTAACGAGCGCTTTCCGCACGTGGTGTGGGTGTTTGCATTCACCGAGCCCGACGGTACGCGGTTGTCTACCGGACCTCCGCGTCTGCTTGCGGTGGTGCAGTTGAACGCAAGTGCACGAAAGATGGCTTGGCGTCCAGGCCATGCAGGCAAGCTGGGGATCGTGTGCGACAACCGGGCGATCTACACGTGGGAGTTGATCGCCACCTCGAGCGTCGACGCGCCAATGCAGTACAGGCAGAGAGCAGAGGCGATCCCGATACCCAACGACGAGCTCAAGGCGTCGCACATACAGTGGTCGCCAGACGGTCAAAAGATCCTGCTCGCTTCGGATTCGCTCTTCTGCTGCGCGTTTGAAGCGTTGGATAGCTAGCTCATCACCCCACAGTCTTGAACAGCAGCGAGTGTATTTCAGCGCAAGGCCTTGCTTATGTATTCTATTGATTCGATGCATGCGGGGTATGGAGGTTTCAGAGAAAGCCTCGGCCTGTGCCTCTTGGCCAAACCTGAACGCGGCCTGTGTTGGATCCGGTGGTGGCGCCACCAAGGGCCGCGCTTTGGCCGTCGGGAGCGATGCGGTAGAGTACGGCCTTTGCGCGTGTTGGACAGGGCGTCTCGACTGCAAACGCCTGCAACGGAGGCACGTCGCGGTGTTGCTCGGCGTGAGATGCAGACGAGGCAAGCGTCTGGGCGAGCGATGGACGCACAAGAGGATGCACTGTGATTTCGCCATGGCAGTCGCGCGCACGTCCGCTCGCAAGCTCCTTGACTTCCACCCATACGTCGGCAGTCTGTAGCAGGCTGCTCAGCAGACACTCGTCAACCGGATCAGACGCACCGTGCTTGCTGCACGACGTCGCATCCGCATGCATCAGCGTAACCACACTCGCATCGTTCTAAAGACAAGGATCGCTGGGCATGTCAGTATGGAGGAATCGTTGAAGTGAGGAATGTGGCACTTACTTTGGTTGCCAACGCAGTGAGTGCGCCGAGCCATTGGCTTGTCTTTTGGCCAACGTTGGCCGGATACTCTTGTGTGTCGATGGAATCTGCACCCCATGCAAGAGCGGTGAGATCATCGACGACAATGATGTTGCGTGACGCCCATCCGCTCTGCGACAACTGGTTGTCACCATCCGAGGCCGATGAGAGCTCGCGGGCGACTTGGTCATAGATGCGCTTGAACCCCTTGTGCGCACGAGACGTGTCGCCTTGCAAGCTCAGTGCTGCTGCCGAGCTTTCGATGCCTGGTGCGTCGTACACCTCTGCAGCTGCATCGATGAACTTGAACGTGCCCTGGGCGGTCTCTTCGTCCAGATGCACGCCCGACTTGCGCGCGACGTTCTTGAGATGGACGATGCCCTCGGAAGTGCAGCCGAGCCAGATGAGCTTTGTGCGCGCCTTTGCCTTTCCCTTGCTGTTCGCAGCGTCTGTTCCGAGTCGAAGCGTCTTGTTGTGTGCATGCGATGCTCGTAGGAAGTGCATCAACACGAACAGGGCGGGCGCGTCGGTAGTGTCCGTGACGAGGATGTGGGAAGAGCGTGGTGGGATCGGCGTGCGTGTCGAACCGCTCGACGACCCCGCGCCGGGGGTCGGGAAGGACAACAAGCTGTCCAGGTTCGGCATGATGGTAGCTGGAAGGTCGTGTGAGGGCAGCCGCGCACTCTTCTCCAAAAAAGGTCCTGCAGCTCTGGACAGACCTGAAGGTGGAGGGACGCCGATGCGGCCCCGATGATGCTTCCGATTTGGATTCCAATCGGCGAGATGGAAAAATATATCGCCGAAAGGCTCGAGCCTGGGCAGCCGCACGTGTCCGGCGTGAGCGGAGGTCCAAGTATGCCGGAGGGCGAACGTGCTCGCCTGCACCACCGATCCGAGACGCGGACGGCCATTGTTGGGCGCTCTGTGGCGCCCACCGCCATTCGCACTCGAGACGCTTCAAATGGAACCATGCATGGCCGTTTGTTGCCGCGATGCTCTGGTCACGATGCCAGTCTCAACCTTTTGCTCGCCAGTCAAGAGCGCTGGGGGTGCGCATGTTGAGGGAGAGAGCCAGTATTGGCACAGTCGGAAGGGCCGGTTAAACAGTGAAATTCGAGTGGCACAGGACGTGGACAGGCCGAGGTGTCAACGTGCGCAACTGACTAGCCTAGCCGCCCTCGACGCGCAGTCCAAAGCCTCAGGGGGGTTCGTGAGCAGCTTCATGTCACGTTGAGCTAGCTTGCTTGCCCAAACGGCGACTCGGAGCCTCGTTGTGGCCCTCGGCCGCCAGCCATGCTGCGAGCCCGGCTGCAGGGCTGCAGGGTCGTGTCGCTTCGAGGCGTGGATTGCCGCTGTCTGGTGCGCACGTCGGATGGTCCTTTGGCAGTGCCTCTGCTGCCCCACTCTGTGCCGGCATGACCTCCTGCCCTTTGTGACAGCTGGCGCCGGCTTCAGCCAGTCGCCACACGAGTCGCTCCCGTGCACACACATATACACTCTTTGCCCTTCGTCAGACCTATCTCTCTCCCCTCCACCACTGAGGTTGTCCCCTCTCACACCTCTCCGAAATCGGCTAGCTCTGCAACACCAGCAACATGGCCGTCGCAGCACAGCGCCCAATCGAGCTCATGGGCGTCGACGATGCCGTGCGCGCCTATCCGCGCGACGTCAAGCGTCCCAAGCTGCGCGTGGCGATTGTCACCGAAAACTTCCTGCCCAAGGTAGACGGCGTGACGCGCACGCTCGCGCGTCTGCTTGAGCATCTCAACAACGAGGGCCACGAGGCCATGGTGCTCGGACCCGAGACGGGCATCCGTCAATACGCCGGGCACCCCGTCGTGGGCACGTTTGGCGTGCCGCTCGTCGTCTATCCGGGCCTCAAGCTCAACTTTATGCGCCCGCGCTTTGTTCGCAGGCTGCAGCAGTTCCAGCCGGACGTGATCCACTTTGTCGATCCGATCTGGCTCGGCGCGCAGATGCTGCCGGCCGTGCACAAGTGGCTGCCCGAGGTGCCGTGCGTGTCGTCGTACCACACCAACCTCCCCACGTACGCCACGCTGTTCGGCATGCCCTGGCTGGAAAAGACCATGTGGCGCCTCACGCGCAACCTCCACGACCGCTGCGAGATCGTCTTCTGCCCCTCGGAAAGCACCCGCCGCATGCTCCAGGACAAAGGGTTTGGCAATGTCGAGATCTGGTCGCGCGGCGTGGATACCGAGCTGTTCGGCCCGCATGCGCGCGATGAGAACCTGCGCGAGAGCTGGGGCTGCACGCCCAAGCCCGCCAACCTCAGGCTGCCGCTCTCGCCCTCGGTCGCGGCAGCGGATGCGGCGGCGCACTTTGGATGCGAACATGCTGCGCTCTCGCACCTCGCCGGAAAGCTGGGCGTGTCGATCGTCCATCCCAAAGGGCGCTCGGGGAGCGAGGACGAGAGCTTTATCCGTACGCCGCCCACCGCAGCCGCCTCGCCCGAGGTCTCCTTCTCGCCGCCGCCGGCGTACGACAGTCTGAGCGGTGTCCCCGATCTGCCCGCGGGCGGGTTCCTTCTTCCGCCACCTGCGCTTCCCGCCGGTGCGGCTGCGGCGATCCCGGCTGCGCTGCGCGTCGAGGCGGACGCGGGCGAGAGCAAGAGCGTGGTGCTGTACGTGGGGCGCATTTCGTGGGAGAAGAACCTGCGTCTACTCATCGAGGCGTTCAAGCTGCTCCCCACCTCGGTGCGTGCCAGGGCCAAGCTCGTCTTTGTCGGCGACGGACCCGCGCGTGCCGAGCTCACACGGCTGTGCAACCGCCTCGAACTCGACGCGGCCTTCATGGGCCATCAGAAGGGATCGCGGCTCGCAGCGATGTATGCGTCTGCTAGCATCTTTGCCTTCCCGTCGTTTACAGAGACGTTTGGACAAGTGGTGCTCGAGGCGCTCGCTTCGGGTCTGCCCGTCGTCGGCCTGCATGCCGAAGGTACCTCGGACCTTGTCTCGCATGGACGAACGGGCCTGCTTCTCGACGTCAATGCAGTCGCCAAAGCAAGCACGACCTCGGCGGGTCGACCGATTGCTGCGGTGCGATCGAACAGTGCATCTGCACTGGGGGAGTTTGCTACGGCCGCATCGTCGGCAGCGATGAAGCTGCCCAGTTCGCCATCCTCATCCGCGCGTGGAGGCAAGGTGGAAGTGGGACTGGCCAGTGCGATTCCCTCCACGCTCGAGTTCAAGGCGAGCATGACGCCCAATACGCCGTGGTTCCACCAGTGCGCCAAGAGCTACTCGATGCTGCTGGAGCGGCTGATTCTGGACCGCGAGACGCGCGCGCGCATGGGCCAACGCGCCGTCCTCGCTGCTTCCCGCAAGACTTGGTGGGACGCAATGGACGCCCCCGTGCGCGGCTACGAGCGTGCGATTCAGAACAGCGGCAGAAACAACCTCTCGGACGACGAACTCGAAGCTTGGAGACAGAAACAGAGATCCAACGCTCCTCTTACTGGCCCAAGGGTCAAACTCGCTATCGCCCTTTATGTTGCTCTGTTTGCTTGGCTCGTCTGGCTCCGATTCCCTTAACTCTAGTTTTCCCAGACTCACTCAATATACCCTTCTCTAGCTTCCAACTCTCATCTTGACCAACGTTCGTTTCACATCGTGTAGACGCAGTTGGCATTGCGAGTGGGTGTCAGAATTGAGCCTACACCAACGCGATTTGCGTGCGATCTGTCCGCCAATCGTCGAGCGCAAGTCGATTGCTGCAGTGCATCTACATTGTTCGAGCGGTCACTACATGAGTAGGGCAACAAAGTTGCTGGGGAACGTATTCGCTCCCGCCTTTCTCCTCGCTTCATCCAGCAGTTCTCCCTGCCACCACCCATCCGCCTCGGTATGCGTGACTGCAATAATGTCGCCCGTCGTAAAGCTAAACTCGTCCGGGTTGGTTGCCTGATAGTCGTACAGCGCCTTGACGTAGAACAGGATCGGCTGACCGGCGTCACTGTACTGTCCGGTCGGTGCATGTCCCTGAGGCTGTGCTCCACCCGCCGCTGGCACTTGTGCTGGTGCTGATGCTTGTTGTACAGGTGCAGGTGCAGGTGCTGGAGCAGGTGCTGGACTGGTGGCCCTATTCCACTGCTGATAATGCTGACCCTGTGACATGCTCGGCTGGTGACCATGTGCAACCCCATTTGCATGTGCAGGTGCCTGTTGCTGCAGATACTCGTGCATGTACGCCGAAGCCGACGTCTCCTGCCCACCCGCATACTGTCCCTGAACCCCACCGGGATACTGATAATGCCCCGCTGCCTGCTGAACGGGCGCTTGTTGCGCATACGCTGCCTGCGCAGGCGCAGGAGACGTCGAATACTGCGACCCGCCCTGCTGATGCGCCAAGTGCGCCGGTACACTCTGACTAGCCGCCGGTTGGTGGCCATACCCAGCCGCTGCATAGCCGGGATACTGTTGTGGCGCCGCCTGCGTGGGCATCTGCGGTGTAGACTGCCCCACGGCCGAGTACATCGAGGGCTGCGCACCGTGCTGCCCTTGATACGCATACGGACTCTGGATCGCCGGTGCGGATGTCGCCCCTGGCGCCATGCTGTACTGACTCGACACCGAAGCGTGCGCTTGGTGATGCGGGGCTGCGGGCTGATAGTTGGCGTGAACCACAGAAGGCGGTCGAGCAGGCTGCTGCGCATGTGCGGGCGGCACAGCGGCTGCTTGGGGCGGCGGCGGCTGCTGCGGCGGCGGCTGTTGCTGAGGAGGAACACTGCCGGCTCTTCGCATGTAGTCGACGGCCATCTGGTCGTGCGTGACTGAGCCCGTAGCGTCGAGCGCGATACCCAGCGGCGTGGTGCTGCGTGGAGGCACGTTGGACTGTCTTCGCGACAGCGTGCCGGACTTTGGCTGGTCCGACGACGGTGCTGGTGCTCGAGGCGACTGCGCTGCGTGTTGTTGCTGCTGGTGGTGTTGCAGCTGCTGTTGCTGCTGCGTCGGACGCGACCAGGGCTGCGGGCTCGGGCTACGGCCTCGAGCCCCAACACCAGCAAAGCCTTGATCTTGCTGATGCTTGCTTGGGCTCCTCGGTGCTTCCGACGCGGGCGCGCCCGCACGCGACGCCACCGAGTTCTGTCGCGAAAGCGACTTGCGCTCACCGGGGAACGACTGTCCGTACTGGCCCACGACCTCCTCGACGGGCAGGGGTGAGGCGGCGCGTGCGGGAGCCTGCATGAAGGCCGCCGAGGGCGACCGAGCACGGGGCGGAACGTTGGTGGCCATGCTTGGCGACGGAGAGTGGGCGCGATGCTCGGGCGGCATGTTGTGGACGATCTGACCGGGCTGAGCAAAAGGCGCGGGGGGCTTTTGTTCCGCCGACAAACTGTCTCTGCGTCCGAGACCGGGAGACTTGCCGCCCGGACGCATACGCAAGCTGGCCAACGCCTTGGCGATGGGGTCGTCGTCATCGGCGTTGGAAGCCGAAGCCGCGGCTGGCTGCTGGTGGTTGGAGGAGGTAGCGCCGCCGAGCGCTGCGGGTGGCGCAGGGCGCGAGGAGGACTGTGATTTGGGCGATTTGGATTGCGAGAGCGAAGAGGTGCGCGCGAGAAAGTTTTTAGCCGACATCCTGCGCTGCGTATCGACTGGCCTTGATGGCGAATGACCGTGTCCGAGATCCGGATCGGGACTCACCTGAGTAGCGTAGGGAGCAGAGGCCGAGTCGGTGGTTGGCAGCGCGGAAGTCTGCTGGCGGTGGTCAGGCTCAAATTGGCGTTGGGGCGAGTCGAAGGATTGGGTTGCGGGTTGCGGCGGCACGGGCTTCTCCTGGAAGGGCTGGGCGTTGCGCTGTGCGACGACGGGCTGAGCTGCGGGCTGCGGTGGCTGCGGAGATGGCGCTTGCGACGAGTGGTGCGACTGGAGCGGCTGAACGCCAGCAGAGGGAGAAGGTTGCTGCGACTGAGGAGGTTGCTGGGGGATGGGCAGCTGGGTGGGGCGCGTGGTGTTGCGCTGGAATCGAGCGGTGTGGTAGACGGGACGTGCGGGAGGCGCCTGACCCTTTGCGTAGTTGATGTACTCTGGCGGAGCGGGGATGAGCGAGCCGGTGCCGGCGTGCTGAATGAAGAACTGGACGTCGCGCGGGGTGTCTACGTTTTCGAGGCTGACGCGGATGCGTTCGCAGGATTCGTCGTCGGCGACGCAGACGGCGGAGACGGCGTTGGCAAAGTTCCAGAGGTTGCTCTTGGTAAAGTCAATGCGCTCCTCCTCCTGGTCCTGGCACTGATCGAGGTAGGCCTTCCACTCTGCGTGCCACTTGAGGGTGGTGTCCTTGAGTGCGCGGACGAAGTTCTGGTAGTCCTTGTCGTTCTGGCTGACGGTGGCCTGTGCCTTGTCGAGCTTGTAGGCGACCTTGTCGAGGTCCTTGCCCTGGACGAGGCTGGACTGGGCCGTGTATCCGTTGATCTTGATGCAGTCCTGTTCGTACTTTTCGCGCGACTTGTTGACGTAGGCCTCTTGGGTCTGCTTGTGCTTGTGGAGCTTTTCGATGTTGGCCTGTGCTGCCTTGCGTGCATTCCAGGTGCGATTGGCAAAGTCGACGACGGCAGCCTCGAGGTCCTTTTTGATCATGTTGGCGAGGTCGGAGTGGGTGCGGGAGGTGGCATCGAGCTCGAGCTTGACGACGTCGAAGGCGGCCTTGAGTGCGCCGGTGTCGCTGTGACCGAGAGGCTGGCGTGCGAGCTTGGCGAGGCGCTTTGCGTAGTCTGCCTCGATGTCTGCACGTTCCTTGTAGAGCGACTTGAGCTCGTCGAGGGTTCGCTGCGAGGCCTTCATGCGAGCCGAGATGGAGTCGAAGCCGGCATCGTTGTGGCCCCAGAAGGCGTTGCAGAAGGAGGTAGCTTCGGAGAGCTCCTGTCGGATGTACTCGTCCTCTGCGGCGATGCGTCTGCCAGCCTCTCCGCCGTCGGGGCCCATGCTGCCGCTTGCGCGTTCTGCTCTGGAGCGGGAGCTGTGGCCGGAGCCGGCGGAAGAAGAACGGCGGTCGGACGGCATGTTGAACGGGAGAGCTGGTTGGAGCGGTGGGGTCGGGTAGGAAGAAAGTGTTGTTGCGGGCGAAGCGTATCTGGCGCACGCTTCGCCAGTTAGCAGCAAAGGTAATTGAGGGGGGGGCGGCGATGGTGGTGGTCGTGGTGGTCGTGGTGGTCGTG